TGTTTAAAATGATATAAGAACATAGTATATGTTTCGAATATTTTTAACAAATGGAAATAAAATCTACCCTGTGATGGTTCGGTGACCTGTCGAAGATTTACCCCGCCTCTCGTTTTCGCCTCTGTATAAATATTCACAGTCTTATGCTAAAACTTTGATTTAGTTGCAACTTCATTTGGAGTCTGTCAGCTTTCCTAATTGTCATTTGGTCATATTTTTGTTCTCTGACTTCAAATCTAGCAGATTTTGAAGATCTCTCAGCTCTGTATTTTCCTGAAGGTGAAATTAAGCTCTGGACTCTGTCTAGACTTCTTCCTTCAAATGCAACTGAATCAAATGGCTGAAGAAACTCCTCAGCATTCTACCAATTAAGACCAAGGAAGTCCATAAAGCCTGCAGAACGTCAACTCCTTGTTGGACACCACATGTTTAAAAGTATTTGAAACAAAACCCAAAACGTGGTGATGTGGTGGATTTGGATGTTTACTTCTGTGATGCAGAAACATGAAATCCCTTTTCATCGTCAGCTTTCCAACGCACACCTGAAGAACAGGACATAACGGGACTCCTGCAGTCCTCCCCCCACCGACTTCAGTCATGTCTTTCTCTTCGGTTACCGTCTTCACTGCCGTCGTTTGAAATTTCTTGAGCTGAAACTGTTGTTTCCTGGCCAATAAAATTCCTCCAATACTTTGTGACCTTTCTGGAAATCAAATCGAGGCTCAGTCAAAGTACGGCACAACAAAGTATTGGCTTAAGGGAGAGTATGCTTATGAAACCAAGATTTCTTTTGGTGTTCAGTTTCCATTTTGTCACAGTCAACATGGAAAGACTTTTCACATCATTTATTAAGCACACATTTATTTTCCTCGCAAAATTTGGCCCTATAAAAGTTTCGCTCGGCAGAGCCGCCGTTCGCCAGCAGAGTTGTAAAAAAAATAAGTTAGAAACCCTTCATGACGGACGAGAGGCCTTACAATGAGACGTTTATTTTCTTATAGTTGCCTTATTGTGTGAGGAGCCAGTGATCCTTCATCACCCCCGCTCTACGATCTGCCTCCTGTCACATCGCCGTGGGGGCGTCTTTGGGTACAGGCGTGGCAAAATATGTTTTCCAACAACGTGACCCTGTTCACCCCAAACCGTGAAAACACACACATGACATCATGCTCTTCATGATTCATCCTTTCCTCCAGCAGCACTTGGAGATGATAAAAACAAGCTCTGTTTATGGCAAGCACTGAATCGACTGCTTTGTAGTTTTGGTGGCATTAATCTATCCGGACCTGCTCCTTAGAGGGTTTTTTTTTTTTTTAAATAACAGGTTGAATGTTATATTTATTGTTTGAACATGCATGTTCTCGTAAGCATTAATGGAGTCTTTTTCTTTATCGGGGAGCAGCATAATGACAGACATAAAGTATTTATACCGCAAATTATTATCATTTTATTTTATTTTTTGCTTTTGTCACGTTACAAACACAACTGTGAAAATTGTACTTAATGTTCGCTCCTTTACAGAGTCGGCTCAGTACAACGCAGCGCAATGATTGACGACAAACAACCATGACGCTCAAACAGCGTTTGTTTCCTGCGCTGTCAACACACCTGCTGAGAGGTGGTTCTTCTTCTTCTGTTTTTAAATGGTGGCTGGAAAAACAACATTAGGTGCATTAGCGCCACCTTCCAGATTGGAGTGTGGTTCAGACGCTTTTCTGCTACGCTCAGTTGACGCCACCCACTGTGACTTTCAGCTATTACACCAAATAAAAGTAAATAAAGAAACCCCACAGAATATAAGTCTAATATTTGGATTCAACCCCCATAGTCTGATACCCTTAAATAAAATTGAGCACAGCCATTTACCTTCAGCACTTGTGAACATTTGTTCACAAGTATTTGTGGAGAAGGATTATGTTTTAAAACAATGTATAAAATAAAATAAAAAGCAAAAATCTGGAAGAAGGTGCTCCGGTTGGATGAGACCAAATTTTTTCTTGGAATACATGCAAATGTATAAAATAGGGCTTTGTTTTGTATGTTTGTTTGTTTGTTTTCTCATTTAGTTACTTTGCAGAACAATTTGAGTCAATTCAAAGTATTGACTCGGTGTGGCTGAATAGAAATATTCCACAGTTTTTTATTTGCAAAATACAGTCAAAGATCATGTTCATCTATCATTTTCTTCCTTCCACTTTAGAGTTATGTGCTACTTTTGTGTTATTCTGTTACAGAAAACTTCCCCAAACAATTCAAAAGTTTGAGATTGTTACGTAGGAAGATGCACAAAAAGTTCCAAGTGTATACGAATAGTTTCACGAGGCGCTTTGAGGGTTTTCACTTCACATTCTGAAGAAATTAAGAGCGCCGACCTCTAACAGCTCACATTTATCACACAGATTAACATTAGAGCCTGTGATTAGTTTACCCCTGAAGTTAATGTTGACGGCGGCAATGAAAAACGTACAGTGCAGTGTGTGTTTTTGTGATTAATTTAAGTGGAGGTTAGGAATGTGTTTTTCACAGATGAAGTTCAGTAAACAGTTCTTTTCTTTACAAAACCCATCTCAGTGGTAAATGAAACTGCATTTTATTTTTTTTGTGTGTGTATGTGCTCCTGATGGAAATTCTTCATCACATTTGAAGCAAATAGTATTTGGGATTTGTGCATGTGTGGGTGTGTGTGTGTGTGTGTGTGTGTGTGTGGGGGTGTGTGTGTGTGTGTGTGTGTGTGTGTGTGTGTGTGTGTGCTTGGATTCATTACTTTACTAGCCTTGAACACTGATTCACTGCCAAAGTTGAGGAAGAAACAGCTGAAAGCCCAGACTGAATGCAGAAAAGCTCAATAATAACTTAGAGCTAAACTAATTTAGGACCATTCAAAAATAAGAGGAAACATTCAACTTCAATATGAGAAGAGCAGGGTTAGTAATAATATAAATTAAGTGAGAAAAAGTACAAGACAAAAAAAAAACAAAAAGCATTCTGCTCTTGGAAGTGGCCATTAACCAAAGTTATTAGCTTTCTGTAATTTCTAAAAAATTTGATCATTTTCTTTTTAAGATGGTCTGCAGTTATTTGGCAGCCAGACTTTTTCACTTTCAATGTTTTTGCACAAACTGATTTCGCCCTGCTTGTTCACGTCCTGCTGTTCTTTTCAAATAAACTCATCATTACACCTACATGTTTCATTTTAAAACCTTTTTAAGTACTTTGGTAAAGAGCATTCGACTGACTCAGTGAGGCAGGCAGTGAAGGCATCGTTGAGGTTCTGTTTGGTTTTGCTTGGCCTATTTGATAAAATCCAACTTAATAGACAGAATGAGAAGTGCATTTGTCTGTTTACCAGAAAAAGTAGAAAAGTAAACTTTTAACTTTAGGTTTTCTCCTGTGTCGCCTTCGCAGACCAGCAGGAATGATCTTGTTGTTCAGCTTGCAGAGAGTAATCCAGTTTGAATTCGATGAAAAAATAGTTTCCTTGCCATTCACAAACAAATAATGCAAGTCTGTTGCACAACTTTATCTTCACTGAGACAACAAAAACCCTCAAGGCGTTAAAGTGAGGAACGCCAGAGAAAACGGGAAAGCACAAACCTGAAAGGGGCAACAGAGAGGTTTCAACTCCAGCACAGTGAGCGTGCCGCCACAAACCAACACCTCCATCAAACACGAAGAGCACCTGTGACTGGAAATCATGATCCCAAATTAAGCGAGACTTCAAAGTGCGCTCACTCAGAGCCACTGAACAAATATGTGGCACATATCACACAACGTCCTTTTTTAGCCTCGTAGCCCCAAAATTAGATGCGAAACTTCGAGGTCTGCAGCCTCAAACCACCTGCGTCCTAGCAGAGACGTCCAAATTTAAAACTTTTCAAAAAATCCCGAGTTCAAAATGATGAAGGACACAACAAAACAATGTTTATATGAACTCTGCAACAGGGGTCTGCGGGTTACGTGAACACTGTGGGTATTCATGTCAAGATGCACTTGGCTTCACGGGTCATTTATTCATACAGAAGTATCAATCAGCACATTCTGGAAGTCAAGAGGAGGACAGCTTGTGCAACCACTCAGGAAGTATTTGTGCCACTTGGACTTCTTCAAAAATTTAAAATTCAGGTTATAATCAAATAATTTCATGACGTTTTTGTAAAAAACTAACAAAGCGGCTCAGAACTGTGAAAAGGAAGGATGAATCGTCATCTTGTGTATTCAGATTTCAGTGTTTTGAAGAACCAACATTACGTCGCAATTACAGCCACAGGCCTTGTTTGCAAAAAAGGTCGAAGGTCAGTCAGATTAAACGAGGAGATCTCTTTTCCTCAGCTTGACGACAATTCAACCCAAACCATTCTCGTACAGCTCTGGCATCGTGAATCACAGCAGTAGATCACACCTGTATCAGCATCTCATTCTTTTCATTGACATCAATGGTCAAATCCTTTGACCATTAATGTGGGTAGGAATGTATATCGACTTGTAAATCGAGAGTTTTGGATATATTTTATATTCACCTGCCCTTAATGTGATCCAGAAATTGGAAATTAAGCAAATATCAGGTCTATGTTCTTCAATATGCTCTTTATCCTTGTGGAGAAAGGCAGAATTTGGGTTAATTTCTTAACCTTATTGTCTATTTTGCGTATAAAATAGTTTGTTACGTTCATGTAATTTATGAGGGAAGGTTTTCCAGATGCGGTCACCAGCTTCTGCTTATCGTTTCGTCCCAGTATAATGCGTGTGCAGCTGTGACCAGCATGTGCTTTATCACACAAACAGAAAACCACTTTAAGAAAAGACAGCAGAGTCCCAAAATAAGCCAAAGTAACAAACTTTATCTGAGTGACTCTCTCGGTCTGAGGCTGGCGGCGGGGGGTTTATCCAGAGACGGTACCACCCACATCCTGCCGCAAACAGTGGACGACTTCACACACACACACAAACACACACTTGGACCTCTTCCTCGGCTCTTGGGTTTATAAGTAGAAGCAGAAGAGTCCTGGATGGAGCAGCAGCAGATCAGCTCCACCCTTCAGCAGCTTCTACAACTCCAGCCGAGGTGCATCAGCCTTTCTTAAAGCCTGACTGGTAAGTACACACTTTACTTTGCTGCAAGTTTGGTGGTTTCATATTTCACTGCCTCACGAGAGGATGCAAATTAAATTACTCATACTTAGTGTGGCTTAAACAACTCCACAGGAGCAGGATGAGATTTTCAGTGTTTCTGTGTGAGTCATGTTAATGCCAAACAGCAACTCTGAAAATGAAATACAAAATTAATTTCAGGAGGCAGCAGTAATATCCAAAGAATGGCATCTTATTACAGCAGTAAAAGCAGACATTCCTCGTCTTGAATTATGAAACTCAGTGTGCTTAGTGTTTAATTCTGGGCAGATGCTCCGCTGTGAAAGAGCTGAGTTTCTTTCTCTCTTTTTTTCCCCGTCTCTTCTCTGCAAGGGACGGAGGCGGGCGCGGGCGGATGAGTTTTATCATGAAAAACTCCACCTAATAAATCTATTCAAGTTGGCACGAATAACTCTTCTTCATCAAAATTGTTTTATGAACAATTCTAGTGAAGATCAATGGATGAAAATCTGACGGTTTAAAAGGAGAGGCAGAAATCCAACACTTCTTGTAGGAATGTGTGTTTTCGTTCAGCCTAATTTGAAGCTTAAACATGAATCTGTGTGAAGCATTTTTCAAGAGATAAAGTGTGTCGACACTTTTGCAGCAGCCGTTGGTAAAACAGTCTAAAACATTTCATTCCTGTCTAACGCTATGCTGTCCTTGTTTGACTTTAGCAATTGTGGAATTTATTAAAGAAAAAAGAAGGAATCTGTTCATATAACTTGATGTGATTTATTAAATGCCAAAATGCTTCAGATCAGCATCACAGTCGAGGGGTTTGGGTTGGAAATAACAAGCTGTCACTGTTGTTTTTCTCTCAACACTTTATGAACGCAGCTGAAAAATAAAATTACGCCATAAGGCTATTTTTATAGTAGACTCTAAATAAAATCACCTGAGATTCTAGAAAGCTGTCAAAGATCGAAAATTAAATCTGACTGATATCACTCAATAATATCAGATGGATATAAAATCTTACTTATATTATATTTAGGTGCCACTTCTGAAAACATAAATATTTTTCAGAAGACAGAAAGCAGCTTAACAGAGAAACTCATTAGATTAATTTATCACATTACCAATAGAAGTGAAGATAAAGGCGACATTTTTTGAGAGGAAAATGGGCAAAAATCAGAGGGATCGATTCACAAAGTCGCTATTTGGTCAACGTTTTGCGCATCTTTTGTGTATGCTATTTCCTTTATCTCTGCATTTTATGAACCACCATTTACATGCAAATAAACACACACACACCCACATCTGTCTTGTTTGTTGCAATACTAAGGAAAATTAGTGGCGACACGGAGGAACGACTGAAAAACCAAAATGGAAGTATATGAGAAAGTGAGAGACGATATACAAGACATCAAGGAGGAATGACATAATTTAACAGCCAGATCTGGGAAAAGTAGAATGAGGCAAACGAGGCTTAATGACGGACGAAAACACGAAAGAGACACAGGGATCAGAAAAACGACAAACCCAGGGCAGCAAAACCAAGCCATCGAAGAACAACAGTGATTCTGATTTGCACTCATTTATTGTGTTCAAACGGTTTGATAAATGTGCCCATAAATAAATACATAAATAAATAAACGAAGTGGCCATTCCAGGTCACAGAAACAAAGTTTTGTGATTTCAGGTTAAACCAATACACCCAAAATCCCCAAAATGACCATCATGGTGATTGAAAATACTGACATACTCGACCGTAACCCGTTCTGTTTACACACTGAAACGGAGGTAAAAGAGCAACTGTGTACTCAGTGTTATTCTACAGGAGCAATATGAAATATGGCTAAAATGACCTCCACACGCTTCCAGCTGGCAGAGCAGAGGAGGCCCGGAGCGCAGGGAGCTGCAGCTCTGATGATGACAGGAGTGTGTTCCAAGTTTGCAGAAAGCCATCAAATAAATAAAAGCTGTTTTCATCTCCTGCAGGGGCAGCGCTCTCAGCTTCCAGCTGCTGGTGCAAAACACCTGGCTGAGAGCTGCAGCAGCTGTTACATAATGTGGGCGTGACATGGAGAGCGGTTTGGCACGGCGTCCGGCTGCATCCGTCGCCATTTAGCACAGCGAGAAATCTGTTTATAAAAAAAAAAAACACTAGAACCACAGATATGGGCTCTGCGGGATGCTTTGGCAGAGCGGATAACAGACAAACGCTTTCAGTTTGTTAAACCTTCATGAATCGTTATGAATAAAAATCTCATTTTAATTAGCAGAACCAAATATCGTGGGGTCGACTGGGGTTGCCACACTGGACAACAAATTGCTCCATAAAGAGACTCCTGGCTTCCAAAGAGACTCGTCTGCTGCCAGGAGTGATGCAATAGGAATGTTTTTATTTACTGAACATTTTGAAAACGGTGTGCTCTTTCATTTCACAATCATACTGCTCAATCAAAAACCAAATCTCATGGACAAAGCAATGCTTCCACGACGGTGCAGCAAGCTGCTGCAGGAAGTTAGAAAAGTACCATTTTACAATTCCTTGGAGATGAGTTGAGTAAGACCTGATACTGGTCTCGTTGCAAACGTTTATGCAGATAATAATGGTAGCCGTGTTGCATAAATGCCTCCAATAGTGATGCACAGCAATGACAGCTTTTAATGGTTCACATACCTTATTGGGAAGAAATGGAAAGGACACACACATTTCTAGAATACCCAAAATATATTCCCATATCGCTACAAATGAATTTAAAATTTAACAGATAATCTGGAAGTTGTTTCTTACAATTCTTTCTGATCCTGAATGAACGCCCAGCAGCGGTGTGTGTGTGTGTGTGTGTGTGTGTGTACTCCGCTTTAACCACACACACAAAAACACACAATACTTGTTGCTGAATGCCAGCAGTGTTTTCCTGCGGCTCACAGGAAAAGCAGTGACTGTAAACTCCCCTCCAGCAGAACCGCAGACACACACGGTGACCACATGTGAACCAAAACCACTGGAAAGAGCAATGATTGCGCCGCTTGCTTCAACGCCAAAGCTAAGCGCCGCTCTCAATAAATCCAGATCTGGGCCTTAAAATTTAATTGCAGCAGCCAAATTATAAGTCATATAAGATGCTGTCAGCAGAGCGGACTCAGTGTGGCCAGTTCTGGTCTTATCCACTCCTGTTCTCTCTCTCTCAGGAATACAGCGCTTCAAGAAATCGTCAAAATGTCTGACCAGGTCGCCGCCCCGATCCCTTCCGACCCCCCCGCTCCTCCCGCCGGACTTCCTCCCAAGGTGGGCCACCTGGGCCGAGCGTCGGGCCCCGCGGACAGCGACAACTTTGAGACAGCCGACATCCCGGAATTAGAATACTTTGTAGCACCGGGTCCGAGAGGATACCCTCCTCTGACAGGTGAGGGGCCGGTACCATTGGCAACAGACGTCAGGAGACACACATAGACAAATGCTCGGCTTACAATGTCTGCGAGAGGAAGGTTTGATTCAGACAGAATCTCAAGACATTTTACTGATGGAATTTGTTCCCTTTAGAGGACGATGTGTGTTTCTTTGTCCTGCAGTGACAGGTTGTTTATTCGTTTCTGGACATGATTGGTGGCTGAATGACTGGATAAGATGAGCAGACTTCCTGCTGTGGGTTCCAGACGTGTCGGAAGTTTATGAGGCACTTACTGGAATTTCATCTGACTGCCTGCAAGCAACCACATGCGAACATGTGGATGGAGCCTCACAGCAGCGAGGAGAGAACGTTTAACAGAGAAACTGCTGAATTTGTATGTTTTAAGGGCTGATCAGCCCTAAAACGCATGTTTACTGGAGAATGTGCTCAAAGCACTTTCGAGAAACATTTGCAGAAGATTAACACCGGAAATATTTAAGCAGATTTCATCTGATTCAGTTTCTGAATCAATACTTTACGTCCCCTAAAGTTTTTTGTTCCCTTGGAGCATGAAGCACAACATTTAAGACGGCACCGACAAGTCATTTGCAGAGCAACGAGTAAAAATTTTAAGGCTGCATGCTTTCTGCTCTGCGTGTTTCTGTCCATGCAGAGTTCCTGGACATCTGGGATGTGGACATGCTGAAGAGGGGACATGAAACCAACAAGACCGACCACCGCACCAACCTGTACCACTGCGACAATCTCATCGTCCGCCGGGGACAAGAGTTCCAGATCAAGATCACCTTCAGTCGCGCTTACAAACCCAACGAGGACAAGATTGCTGTGGAGTTTGTCATCGGTGAGACATCTCCAACTAGACGTCTCGTTGCTGGGTGGATTTTTCAGAGACTGAGAAAAAGTGGTCAAAAATTCATGGCAAAGAAACTTCTAATTCAGTGAGATGGATACAGTTCCCTCAAAACTAAATGTATCAAGCCTAAAATGATGTAACATTTTACTCCAGGTGCAAAATCTCACACTAAAATGTTATTTTAATTACACTTAATTTGTTGAATAAGAAAAATTCCACATGATTAAATAATTGTTGAAAAGTCAGAACCTTCTGCTGGCATAGTAGAAAAGTTTCACTTGGTTATGAAAGATGATTTGACATGAATCTGAAGGAAACAGAACATGTCTGCCTCACATTTGAGCAAGGCACATGAGTGTTGATGTTCAACAAGGTTGGATTTCAACCTTGTATTCCCCACTGACTAAACCATTCTTAGTTTGAGGTTTTGTTTGAACAATGGAAAATTGATTCATCTGAACACCTCTGGATGTGGTTTAGTAATCGAACCAGTAGTTGTGGGTGTTTACAGCAGAAACCTGCTGATGCTTCTTGCTTTGTCTCAGGCGCCAACCCTCAGTACAGCAAGGGGACCTACATTCCTGTGTTTCCCACCAAGACCCGTCAGAGCTCCTGGGGGGGGTCGCGTCGTGCAGACCAACGACAACTCGGTCACCATGGGCATCACGCCAGCGGCCAACTGCATTGTGGGAAAATATCACATGTACATCGCGGTGCAGACTCCGTATGGCATTCGTAGGACGAAGCGGGACGACAGCAGAGATTTATACATCCTCTTCAATCCTTGGGCAGCAGGTTTGTTTAGATCAGAACGCCCCAGGTGTGATTTTGTATCCTCTTAAGACTTTTTGTTCTGTCCCTTGTAGACGATGCTGTGTTTCTGGACGATGAGGCGGAGAGGCAGGAGTGTGTGATGAATGAGTTGGGGATCATCTATCACGGCGCTTATGATGACGTGTCCGAGAGAAACTGGAACTATGGACAGGTAAGAGAGAATGGGTTCTCTCTTACCTGTAACCATTGACTGTTTCGATGGTTTAATTTTTTTATCTTTTCACCTCATAGTTCAACTATGGAGTTCTAGATGCCTGTCTGTACATTTTGGATCGGTCTGAGATGCCAATCACCAACAGAGGAGACCCGATAAAGGTGACCAGAAAGGCCTCTGCCATGGTGAGGAGCTCTTCAAAACAAAAAAACATCTCCAGTTGCAGAAATTCAGAAATTCGACATAAGCCCAAATGCGTTGTTGAAACGTTAAAAATCAGGTCGTTTTCTCTCGTAGTTGAACTCGCGTGATGATGACGGCGTGCTGGTGGGGAACTGGACCGGAGACTACACCTACGGAGTGGCGCCCACTTCCTGGACCGGCAGCACCGACATCCTGCTCAGCTACTACGGCAGCAAGATGCCCGTGCGCTACGCTCAGTGCTGGGTCTACGCTGCCGTCTTCAACTCCTGTGAGATCTTGGTTTAAAGTGGTCAAGAATTAACCTCCGGACAACACAGCATGTTTTTTTTTTATTCCATTATATCTCCACAAAAATAAAAACCATAGTCTTAGTACCAAAGTCATCACTGTGTCTTATATGACAACATCAGAAACTGCAGATAAAGGCTGAGAGAAATGGAGTTTGTGTTGGTCATATAGATTGTATGAAACATAATTTTGCTTTGACATTTAAAAAAAAAAAAGTGATTTCATTGGAGTCAAAATAATGAACTCATTTTCAAACAAGAACTACTTAAGCAACAAGCTGGTACACAAAAGATTTTCCAGCAAATGTAGAATTTATCACAAACACAATACATTTTAGAAATCCATGTGCAATCACACCAAATTTTGGCACCTTCTGCACTAAAACCAGAAGTCAAGAAAAGCAATGGATGACGTTGATAATCGTGAAGAATCGGTCACGTCTCTGTGTTTCAGTCCTGCGCTGTCTGGGCATCCCGTCCAGAGTGGTCACCAACTACTACTCTGCTCACGACAACGACGGAAACCTGAAGATGGACATAATTCTGAACGACAACGGCAGAATCGATCGGAACCGCACCAAGGACTCCATCTGGTACCAAATGCTCCCTTTAGATTGTTTCTTTAAATTGAGGCATGATTTATAGGATTCTGTTAGCCTACTTTATGTTTTTATGTCATGTTTGAGTCACACACAGGTCTGGCAGCACTCTGGTCTGTGTGTGACTATGTTTTGTGTCATTTCAAAACTACCCTTTGTATTTCCTTGGGTTATATTTGATATTAAAATGTGTTTTAAATATGAAAAGAAATTCGAAACAGAAGAAATTTGTAATCCAGCATCTTCTATTTCATTCCTCCGTTTTCCTGTTTAAGTGTTTGATTTCTGAATTATTCTCTTCTGCTTTCCTTACTAAGAAGCTTCAGTTGGGAGAAAAGATCCATGTGCTGGAGCAACATCTGAAAGTTTATTTATTGTCAATAATTGAAACCAAAGGCCTACTAAGGCCACTTGAGTTATTAAATAATATTGCCACCAAAGACTGAGAATGGCTCAATGTTACAGGGTCTCCAAATCACATTCATTAGAAATTCAAGGCCATAATGTTTTATTGTCTTTTTGTATGTAATAATATTTAGGCCTTCATATTCATCTCAAATGGTTTGGTTTCCAGAGTCCCGTTCTTAAGGATGGGACATATTTGAGCTAAACTTTTCACTCTTTGGTTACTCATGTAGAGAAAACTAGCGACGACAGACACGACTGTGGATGAACGCTCCAAAGTTAGACTGTCAGACCTTTTCGCACTTTCTGTAACTCTGAACATCCTGGTGTCTTTCAGGAACTACCACTGCTGGAACGAGTGCTACATGACCAGACCGGACCTCCCTCCGGGTTTTGGAGGCTGGCAGGTTGTGGACTCAACGCCCCAGGAAACCAGCGACGGTAAACGATCCCGATACGAGACTGACGTACAGTTCCTCCCACATTTATTGGCCTTGAGAATATAACTTTGAATCCACCAGATGTCAGAGTAGCTGACTCTTAGACTTTCCAAATTATTATGCAAATTGGATGAAAGTGTCATAAAGATTAAACTTTTTGTTGTGCTGTTCAGTCATTTAAGGCTTTTTACACAGAGACTGTAAGTGTGGAAGGTGCAGGACTTTGTGATGCAAAAAAAGAATGTTTTGTCCCTGTATGAAAGTGAAGTGAATGTACCGACTGTTGTCTGTTCTGCTGCTTGAAGGGATGTACAGATGTGGACCCGCGTCCGTCCTGGCCATAAAACACGGACACATTTGCTTCCCATTTGATGCGCCCTTTGTGTTTGCCGAGGTTAGTTCGTTCAGCACTACTGCGGCCTTTTGGAAGCGCTTGAACTTCCTGTGAAACCACAACCAAAGGGGAAGTATTTCCATCATCTGTCTCCTGTCGTACTTTGCGACCAGCAGCCGGGTCACCAGAGGTCAGACCCGGTTCGGCCGTTATTTTGTTTTCCTGTCCTTCCCTCCTCGCAGGTCAACAGCGACGTCGTGTTTTACTCACGGAAGAATGACGGGACGATGGAGCCGGTCAAAGTGAACAAAAGTCACGTGGGCCGCATGGTTTTGACCAAAGCTGCGGGAAGCGACGGTCGTCGAGACATCATCGATCAATACAAGTTTCCTGAAGGTCAGTGACCACATCGAACACAAGTGCTGCTGCGAAACGAAGCAGCAGAACCCGCTTTTCCCTGCTGCTGCTTCTGATTTAACACACAGGCCTCACTCCTGGCAAAATGGGAGGATAGTTTTAAATGATCCTCCAGCCGAAACGCAAGAGTGCACGAACAAATAAACTTACCTTGACGCATAATGACTCAAAGTCAACAGAAAAAGTAAAGCAGCGACGGTAAAAGCTTCATCTCGTTTGACGGGTTCCTTTTTTCAGTTCATATCGAAGCCAGATTTGTTTGTCAGAAGTGAGGTCATAAAAGAAATCCAGGAAAAGGATTGGCTTTTTTTTTTTTTTTTGCTTTTTCCCTTTAATTATAAAATCAAATGCTCTCATGTGACAAAAGAAAAAAAAAACTGCATATGTGCTGAAATGCCTCAATTGAACGCAGGAAGCCCAGAGGAGCGGACTGTCCTGGAAAAGGCTGAGGAGTTCGGCTGCAAGCAGGAGAAGTCCAGCCCCCCCGAGGCGGATGTGGACGTGGTCCTGCCCACCCTGGAGATCAGGGTCGGCGATGACTTCGAGTTCAACGTGGAGTTCGTCAACCAGAGCTTGCAGAAGCGCACGGTGCAGGCCTACGTCAGCGGGAGTGTGGTGTATTACACCGGAGTCTCCAGCAATGAGTTCCTGTTCAGGACCCCCACTGTGACCATTCCGGCCCAAAAGAGTGAGTAGAGAGAAACGAAAGGAGACTGAAGAGTGACAAAGAAGACAAAAATACGTCTTCTTCGTTCTACTGATGATGCAATGCAGCACACAAAAAAAGAAGGAGGTACATGCAGGTTGGCATGTCAAAAAAAGAGGGGAAAGGACATGATTTACTGCTTTACAGCTTCAAAAGTATAAGTACAGGGTCATATTCCTACATGCAACCTAACTAATAAGTTGCATGCATACAACCAGATACCCAATGGCTGCTGGATACTTCTGTGAAGAACAGCTATCAAATATCGTCTAATGGAAGTAAATATTTAATGTATTTAGGTGTGTCAATTGTACCATTAACACATAATTGGATGTGTGTCAGTTAGGTTTTGCTCTCTGAACCCCAACAGTTCAGTTACAATGAGGGAAATAACAAAAGACACAAGAGTCATTTTGACTGTATATATTAAATGGAATTCATAAAAAATATATATATAATTTATAGATAGTAGCAAATGTTTACAGCACAATAGTAAGGTGGATCCCAAATGTACCAAAGTAGAACATAATAAAGTCAGAAAAAGACTTGTAAAAAAATGATTTAAAACACGACGTTCTCCTGACCCTATAGGTCAATAGTGTAATAGGTCAAATATGAAGCCAAAATGACCTCAGAAGCATTCAGTTTTCTGCAATCTGCTTGCTGAAATTTGCATTTATGTGTTTTGTTTTTTCCATTCTGGATAAAGAATGAAGCCAATACCTGAATGGTGATCATTACGGAAACATCTGACTGTGACTGTTGCAGGTGTGAAGGAGTTGATGACGATTGAGTCGAGGGACTATCTTAATCACCTGGTGGAACAGGCCAACCTCAACTTCATAGTCACTGGGAAGATCAAAGAAACCGGCCGTATCTTGAGCGCCATGAAAGTGGTCACCCTGCACACTCCCAAACTCACTGTTGAGGTACAAACGTTTCCTTTGGATGATCCGGCGTGAGTCTTTCACAATGGCCGGCACTTGCAAAGCACTTTGTCGAGTCTAGAGGACACTTAAGAGCTACTTTCACACACACACACACACACACACACACACACACACACACACACACACACACACACACATTCACAATCTGATGAGATTAAAGCCTCAGCCGCCTTGGAAGTCTGAGAGAAGTGAGTAGCAGAACCATCAGCAGGGTGCAAGGCGAGTAAAATGTTTTCCTCAAGCACACAATAATGGAGGCAGATGGAGTGGCCCACCGGTTCCGGGTTTGGGCTGACCACCATCTCTACTTAACAGTTTCTTCCTTATGAAGAAAACCTCCTTCATGTTTCCCTTCTGAGGCCTCTGTGTGTTTTCCTTTTGCACGCCAGGTGACTGGCGGCGGCAAAGTGAATGAAGAGATGATGGCCAGTGTGCAGTTTACCAACCCCTTCTCCTTCAACCTCGAGAACGTCTACCTCCGAATGGAAGGACCCGGAGTCATGGAGCTCAAGACCAGATACTACAGGTGAGACCGAGAGGAAACAGATGAGTTCTACTAGAAACTCATCGATATCTTCAGTTTCTCACTCTGTTAACTGCTGGGATTCTGTTTGCATTTGGGTCGCTGATGAACACTATAAAAACACGACGTCTTACCGAGTATTTTTAGTCTGGTTTCTAGTGCAAATATTTTACTAGATTTAACAGAAGACAAAACTAACTGACAAGTAACTTTTCAGCAAGATGTAGCAGCTTGTTTTAAGTTAGTGATTCCTTCATATTGACACAAAGTACTGGCTCCATTGGCAGTTTATTTCACTTACAACAAGGACCAAACGTCTTTCTATAAATCAAATAATCTGCTAATGAAACAAGTACATTTTCATCAATATTACGGAATTATGTCGACCTAAAACAAGCCGCTAAATCTCGTTGAAAAGTTTCTTATGAGTCAAGTGAACAAGGACATTTGCACTAGAAACTGGACCAAAAATACTTGGCAAGACGTTGTGTTTTTGCAGTGCATCATCATCGGCCTTCAGCAGCCTTTGCTGCATGGTCATCTCTTTCCTTTTTACAAGATCATCACAAATCCAGACTCCATTCTCTGGTTAAAAACACTGTGCAACATTACACAAAGGAGAAATCTGGGCATTATAGTAACACCTGTCAAAATAAAAGAGCCACAGCGATTATACAACAAAACCTTAGAATAGATGTTGAATTGCTTTTCTACTTATAACAGTCTGTTGTCCTGTAAATAACTTTGCCTGGCTACCAAACTGATATGAGATAAATTGCTAAGCGAATGGTTTATGGGCCTCAGTCTTTTTAAAGCAGTCCGGTCTGTCCGGTTTGTAATTCAGACTCTGCTGTTCACAGTCTGCTCCCCGGCGGCTCCTCTCTCACCTGGACTGAGATGTTCACCCCACAGAGGGCTGGCACGTCCAGAGTGATGGCCACTCTGGACTGTTCCGGTCTCAGACAGGTCTCCGGCCAGGCGTCCATCACCATCGAAACCTAAAGAGGAAACAGAAGATTCACCGACATCCCGCTTTAAAACAGCCTCGATTGCTTTAGATTTAGCTAAAAACTGCTGAAACTGGGTGGAAGTTTCAGAAGGCATGTATTGGTATGGGCTTATCATCGTTACATGCAGGCCTGTTTCAATAACAAATTTTGCTGGACGAAAAACTGCCCTAGAGCTTATTGTGTTAGACAATGACATTGTTGTTTTAAGAACATTTTAAAAGTAGTGTGACTGTAATAATGGCATAAAAATGCAAGAACACATTCTCAAAGATCAATAAGATTTAAATTTCGAATCAACGTTTAAACATTGGAACTGGAAGAAATTTGAAACATCCCAAATAAATAACGAAAACAACAGAAATAACATAGAAAATATGAAGTCTCTGTAAATGAAATTATCTTTCAAAAAAAGGGATAGTTGAGACCAAAGCACCAGACTGGAGACTTTTATTATTCAGTTTTTGGTAAAAAAAAAAAAAAAAAAGAGAGAGGAAAAGGAGAAAAATGACCAATCAAGCAAAATTCTTGAGTTACTTTTAATTTATCATGCGATTAATTAGTTTATTGTGACAGGCCTAGTTACATAATTATAATCTGCTGAAACATGACTGAAAGGGTTGTCTGGAGATTTCTGCACAGTGATGTCCTTAAAAGTATAAAATATAGAGACTTAGCTTTATCATCTATATCAATAGAGGTGGTCGTTTGAGCATATTGAAACACTAGTCTGATGCATAAAAGTACAGAAGAAAATAGATTTTAAAAAAAGTGATTGACCAACAATTTAATATTTTGATCAGAACAAATCTTGACCATTTTTGAGTAAAGTAATTTGGCCACTCAGGGTCAGACTAACAGAAAAGTAAAGAGAAAAAAAGTGCCTGAACTTTCATTGCCTGTGTCAACAGGAAGGGAGTTTCAGCCAAAGTTGTCTTTCACACCATGCAACAAGCCCGGTATGTTCTATTCTGAAATACTGTAGCACGCATTATGTAATCTCTTTTGCAACGTAAGAGCTTCCAGTTTATTTCTATTTGCTTGTTATGAAGCAAACAGCAGAGAGTTTATTGAAACTGTATGGCTGAAAGTTTTACAAATACTGAATGTATGCCATAGAAAACCAAAGACGGGCTTTTAGATACGGTATTTTATCAAACTTTTTACTGTTTTAGTTTACATTTAAGAACAACCATTCTTACTTATGCGTATCTCTGCAGATGAAACTCCATTTATATTCTTGGAATTAATAAATAACATAGCAACATTTGGTGTTGGTTCTTTTTACCACTTTATACTGTGTGCAATTCAGACGCAGAGTGAGGAATCATTGTTCTACGTTTCATAATGAGTCTTCCTGGTAATAAAACGATCTAAGTGTCGTAACCTATCAGCACAATAATCCTATTTAGTGCACAAATTCCACTTTTTAAATGTCCACATTTCACATAAAGGGATTCTTGTGTTTTTAGGATCAGTGATAATCTAAGGCAAACCATTTTCCTTGAAAAGTAACTTACACTGTTGGTGTCTTCATCTGACTCTCCGCAAAGTTTTCACAGCACTGTGAACATGAGATTCTGTTTCTAAAATGACAAGAAGCTGCTCCCTTTTTTACAATTTTTAAAGCAATTTAACATTCAGAATTAGAAATGGAAACTTGTCTGTTTTTGTCCGTCATAAGGCAGTCCAATGTAGTTGAGGAGAGCGCTCATAAAAACAGAGCAACCGCAGCCTCAAAAGTCACCGACACATTTCCTGTTTTGAAAAGTTTTATTCAGAGAAAAAAAACAAAAAACATTTGGACTAAAATCAAGACGGTCAGATTAATTAAGCAAGAGAAAAAGATCAAGTTGATCCACGACACAGTAACTTTTTATGGGACATAAGTTCAGAAAAAAAAAGTTTTTGCACACATTTTACTGTACAGGCTTAATCATACGGTTAAAAATCAGTGGGACTTTTTAGATTAATTCATGTAAACAATAATTATTATGTGTACAGTATTTATATTTATATTTTTATTTAATGCTTGCTCATTTGTATTTATAGTGCTCTGCAAAACCTCTAAATCACTCGTCTTTAATTTTGCTTCTATTGAGTCTGTTTTTTTTCTCTGGTTTTCCCTGAAACTATTTAAAACAAATTAGCAATATCTGGAGGTCATGTGTTTCAGAAATGGTCAAATGTGCAGCAAAGATCAGATTTTCAGCTCCCTTTGGAATAACCCTGTTGAAGCCATTTGAGATTTGTTCAAGATGTATTTAAGATTGTTTCATTTGGAATTTCTTCACAGATTCAGTCAGAAAGGTTTCAATAAATTGTGTCTTTCTGTAATAAGTTTCCAAAGACCATTTTAACAGGTTTATTATGTGTTGATACGTGTGTGGACCGGACCAGCCTCTAATTTTAAGACATAAAGAAATCAAACAAAAAACCTCATAGGACGCTCAAAAATCTGATATAATAATAATAATCAAGGTTACGCTAACATTTTGTTTGAGGTTTTCCAGTAACCCAGGAAATATTTCCAACCTAAAATACCCAGAAACCATTGCTTCACGCCGACTGTGACAGAACCATGAGACGTTTTCAGAGTCATTGTCTGAAGGTGATGAGGTAATCCAGATAAGCTTGGTCATCGTGGAACACGACAAACATGTTGGGTCTGCCCATGTTATCCACCACGCTGTCGTATCGTATATGAGGCTCCTGGACGTCGAGAGCCGGAGGAACCTTCATGCCCCTTTGGCCCAGAGTGTAGACGCCTGTCAAGACTCTCGCCACAAACATCAGCTGAGAACCATCAGCAGCAGGTCTGGAGTAGGTGGGGTGGCTGGAGTAACTGGCATCTACGGCAAAGTAGGTTCCCTCACCGTAACTTGTTGCTGCGAGACCGACAAAAATAACGATTTTAGCAAACTATAACAAAGAGATACTTGCTGCACTGGTTCTCCTCTTTTATTTACTCATTCCTTGGCTACTTTTAAGAAATTCAATTTACAAAAGCTGTAAGATGTACTGCACGGTTTAGACTAGATAAGATGGTTTTACCGTTTTGCCCACAGAAGCGCCTGTTGAAGCCAGTTTTCATGATGGAGTCACAGTTGTCCTCCGTGGTCCCATGGTATAGAAACTTTTCATTTGCAGCTCCCTCTTGTTTGTTCTTTTCAAATATTTTTTTCTTCTGTGCCTCATAGGCACGACGTAGATGAATGTTCTGCACGCGCTCAATCTAACAGAAGAAACAGAGAAAAACTGTTAAAGCGCCGACCGTTGGCAGCTGATGGCACCGCCACAGAAAAAGTGCTAGATATCTTGACAAAAAAGCTCATGGAAGCTGATAAATTAAAATCACTAACAGCTTTGAAATTTCTGACCTTTGTTTTCAAAAAGATGAATATCAACAGGTCATAAACGGGTAAGGATTGAAATCTCTGTATACTAAGTATGCAAAGTCAATTTTTTAGGTTTCTTTTTAGCAACAAAACTGTCAAAGACAAAATAAAATACTAATCTTTACATTTTTAAACACACAGGCATGCTTTTAAGCAAATTTAAGGAGTAGGGAATCATGTCCTGTCCAACCCTAACCAGGAGAAAATAATATTAAGGGCAGCTATCAAAAGCATCCTACAGACACTTGTCAAACTCTCAATCACTTCTGAGGTGAGCAGCAACAAAGTCCATTTTTAAGAATAGTAAATTGATTCCTAATGGAAACCACCAACCTTCATCACAGTGTGTTTAGCAGATCGTTTGAATCCCTGCTTCACTCTCTTGTATTCTGGTGAAGAAGACTCCAGCACTACCCTCTTCATGTCCTCACCGTTCGCCATGGTGTCCCATTCCAGAGGGAACGTGAAGTCTGGAAAATATATTACACCGGAACATTATAGTGAACCCGTCTTATAACATAAGAATATCCATAGGATTTAACCACAGCTTTCACACTGAATGAGAGTAATAAACAAAAGTTACATTAATACCGAAATCTAGTAATATGGTATTTGAGTGTAAATGCTGTAGTAGTCACTATTCAGTATAATAAGTGGAACTATATGCATATATATTGAAAAAGGGACAAGGGCTTTAACAAAAACGAGAAAGGTAAAAACAGAAAATTAGCTAGCTGATACAACCCAGCAACAACAGGCCTTTTGCAAAATGCTGAGTAAAAGTAGCTTCTGAAATACTTCATAAATAATTTTAACATCTGCTTTTCTCACCTTCCAGATTCTCAAGTCGTTTGATGTTTGTTTTGCGTCCTTGAGCTGAGACCGTTAAGCTTTGTAGATCCACTTGCCACGAGACTCTGTATGAATCCGTAATTCCTCCTCCAACATCCTTCATTTCCAGGTTGTAATTGGCCGTTTTGGGGAGTCTTTCCCAGTTTCCGTTGTTCCCCAGGATGCACCACATCACGCGCGCGAACAAATCGTCCTCGTCCCTCCCTCTCACCTCTCTCAACAGGGTACCGTGCAGGTTTGAATTGAACTTCACGATCGCCCTGTTCACCCCGTCTTTCATACCGTTCACTATCAGGTTTCCAGAGGGGTCCTTCTTCATGTACAGACCCTCCGTCCTCACCAGCTGCTGCAGATCCAACATGTCGTCTGCGTGGAGACTGCCTAGCTGCTCTTTTGGGAATGTGTGTTCAGTACACTGATGCTTATAAAGATTCTTCAGTTTTTCCATAGCATCAGTAACATCCTGTCTGGTAAGACCCAGGAACAGGAATGTAGATGGCTCACTTACAGGAATGGTATTATATATGCTGAGGTTGGCAATCAGAGGTAAAGGTGCCTGTTGTTGTGCCTGAGGCACCTGAAATGATGGTGCTGGAGAACAGGTCAAAGATATTTGTGAAAAGTCCGAATCATAATATTTAAAGCATCATAAGAGATAAGCTATTTGTAAAAAATGCTCTGTTACCGTTTCTTCCAGAAGTAGGAAACATCTGTGTTGCCTCTTCTTTAAAAGCTAAGAAGACGTTGATTTTAATCAGGACAAGGCGGATGGAGGTGAGGCTGTAAAAAGGACCGGATGATGTGGCAGTTTTGATTCCTCTCAGGATGGCGCCTGCAACGACTGCAGGGTCCAGCCCACCGGCTCCTGCAGAGAGAGATTGTCCGCACAGAGTCCAACCACACAGTGCAACGTTTCTTATGCGTTCTCCAAAGAACACAATAAACTTACCTGCACAGATGGCAGGAATGGCTACAGAGCTGAATCCCTGGTCTTCACAGTAGTTAACGATGCTGGGCACAAAAGCTTCAACAAGGCTTGCGTCTTTCTCTCCACATACGTGTAAGATGGCTTTACAGGGGAAATGCCCAGGCGGCGTCACAAAAGGATTTCCTCGGCTCACGTTCGCTGTACACACAAAGCACAGGAGATCGCCACAAAAACCAAATAATGGACTGTGTGTTGCTTTCAGACACGTGGCCAATTCTCCTCTCTTACCTGTTTTCAGCTGAGCTTCCACCCCTGATCCAGCTACGGTTAAAATATCTTTGCAAACTCCCTCTGTAACAAATAATTATGTGCACTTTAATATGTTTTCGTTGCTGATGTGAAAGCAGAGCCAAGACTTGCTTCACAAAGGGTAACAGTCTTTTGATAAAGATGAGATGTTTTTTTCTTTGCAGATTTACATATTTAATAAGGAATTTGACTTGATGAAGGGCCATTCAAGTACAGGCCATTTAAAAACCATTTTTAAGAGTAGCAATCTCTAAATGTCTGCCGGTTTTCTAATGTTGCCTAATCAAAAAGAAACGGCTAAACTGCCACAGTGTGCTTCCTTCCTTGGACTTTGAGCTTCGAGTGCTGTCCTCAAGCATTTGATCACCTACCATTGTAGAAGTTGACAAAATCGGTGGTGTTCACCACAACGTCTGTAGTCTCGTTAGTGATGTCGCCGAACACCAACTGCAGTTTGACCCCGCCTCCTACAGTGATGTTGACGTCATCGAGGTCACTGGTGAGGGACCTGAAGAGTGCTGAGAGAAAGAAGCCGTCTTGAAGTTTGATGCCAATAAAATGTTTATATGCTGCAACAATTATGAACTGCCAATAAAGTCTAGTTTACCTCTGCCTCTCTGGTTCATGATTGAGCTGAGATGTTTGTATACTTCATGGTAGGTCTGGAAGTAATTCAAATCAATAGTAAATCTTATGTAACATTTATTTAAATGCCATACTTTGCTTTGAAGAGGTACCTCCTCGGAGTCTGGATAGCCTGGTTTAATGACAATGTGGATGGTGGTGAGATTTCCGCATTGGTTAGACAATGCAAATTGGCGAATGCTTTCCTTCAGAACCTGCACGGCTTCACTCAAGGGGTATTTTAGGAGCAGTCCAGGTCCAATAACAGGAATGGCCACTGAACTGAAGCCCTTCTCTACACAGAGGTCCAAACATCTTCTTAGCCCCCTGGAAAGAGCCTGAAAGGCAGGAATAAAACATTTCCCTGTGATAATAAGAATTCATCAATCTACAGTCCAGACAGTATATATGGTCCGTCCTGTTCTAGGGGTATCCCTCTGCTATCAGTCTTGAAATCTTCTGAACAAAGGCACACAGTAGTTACCCTGATTAGAACAAAAACTCCACAATCAAACGATGAGTCCAAGCTAATCCCGTCCCATAGAGCGACTCATTCTGTCTTTGTTGGGACAAGTCATCTTATGAAGGATGCTAATTTCAGCAACCGTGTATTTTTCTCTCCATAAATAGATATTGATTACTGGGGTTTTGATTTCTCACCTGCACTCCTCTTCCTCCAACTCCGTCCCAAGCCAGGCACTCTATGCAGAATATCTTGGAGCAACCCAGAGAGGCGCTGGCACCGACCTCCAGAACATCACCAGGAACGAGGTAAGAATTTGCAGCCAATAAGTCAAACTTTGATTTGATTACATCTCCGCCTTTCACAAGCAATGACTTGCCAATTTTTGTTATAGACAGCTGCCTGCCGTGTGTGGGGACGACCAAAATGTTCACCTGTGAAAACATTTAGAAATAGCATTAATAGAAAACTGGCGTCCTGATAATATCGGGCCAGATATTGGCAGTAATGTCAGGATGTCAGACATTGGCAGGATGTGAGACACTCTTTCTCACATTAAGCCAAATATGAGAAAGAAAATTCAGCAAAATTGTCAAACCTGCTCTTTCTCTAAACTGCCAATCTTGATTTCTAGGTTGATTTTGACTGGACTGTCTCCAACGGTGCTGAATCGAGACCTGGGAGTTGGTGTTGGTGGGATGCTGCTGAGGCTTCGCTGTTTGTTTACCACAACTGGTGGGCTAACAACTTGTTGTTCCCTAATAATGACCTGATAGGATACTTCAACCAGCTCCTTGCTGTCTTTACCAGCTCCTTGGAAGTACTGCAGCGCCCCAGGACCGTCCAGAACCAGTTTGTCCATTGTCATGCTGGCCAGAGCTGACCCAAGGGCTTGTTTGGCCTCCTGAACCAGCAAACGAGGACCAGACAAAAGAACACAAGGGTTTGGAAAAGACGAGGCTTTGATTGTCACATCGGTCCACTTCATGCCAAGTATTGCTAAGATTTTATCAAAGCAGTCAACAAGTTCAGGATACTGCAGACTGATAACCTCTTGAGTTGAAACCTGATTTGCCTGGTGATCATAAAGAAGGTCTTTAAGCGTGTTCACGTTTTCAGTGTAGCCCACCAGCTTTACTTTGGTTGACGGAGTGCCACTGGATCCAAGAAGGAAGCTAACACTCACTCTGAGCTCACCACGGTTTTCCTCATCCTTGGCTTTGTTGAGACTTTCCTTGAGTCTGTCTAGATCTGGAGCCACCGCTGCAGCTCCCTGAAGAGTCACACTGGACTCACTGAGATCTCTAAGCACCGCCATCTCAGCTTCCCTCAGAGCATCCGAAGACGAACTGGACAGAACCAAATCCGACCCCACCTCCAGGGACACTGGACTCCTGAGACTTTGCTGAAATCGTGTTTGGTACTTGGAGATGATGCTGCTAGTTGCCATGAAGTCTAATAAATCATTGGAAAGGCTGAGCCTCTTCTCCTTTATCGTTTTCATCAGTTCATTCAGTTTGGCTGCAGCAGACTGCACCTTATCTTCAGAACCTTCTAAGATTATGATGTTAGTGGCCCTGCTGATTTTAACCTCTGGACAATTTGCACTCATCTCTCGGTTGAACTCCTCCTCAATCAGTTTGAACCACTTCTCCACAACCGGCTGCTCTTTGCGAGTTGGTATGCTTTTTTCCAGAACCGCAATCTTCTCCTTCACTACAACTGATTCCCCCACAACCACAGCATAGCCACTCTCTGAGTACACTCTCACATCATCAGACACAAAGAAGGGATCCTGTAGAACCTTCTTGACTTGTTTGGGCTCAAGGACATGATGGCAGGTGTAGTCCTCGATGAGATTGACGAAGATCCGGTCCACTTGTAGCTCCCAGTTTTCTGCAGCGCCATCAAAAGCTCCTCCGGGCCCCTTCTCTATGTTCCCCCTCACTACTGCCTCTTCTTCGTCAAAGTCGAGCTGTATTGTGCAGCCAATTGCAGAAAACTGCTTCTGCAGTATTTTGTAAGCTTTAGGGTTGTCTCTCATGTAGAACAAGAGAAATATGTCTGTCCTGAAAGTCTTCTCAAGTCCTTTTGTGCTGACTTTAGTAGTCGTCTGAAAGACCAAAACAGCAAAATTAATGAATTTGTTACGTAACAGAAAAGTGAACACAAAAAATGTTTTACAAAAAACGTCGCGCCTTGGGAAACCAAAAACAATAATGTATTTATTGGGATTTTAAGTGATAGACCAACACAAAGCACTACAAGAAAAATGTCTGAAGTCTTCAGACAAACCTGAAGACAAACATTTGTTCTCTGGACATCTGAGAACAAACATAATGAAGACCAGCAATCATAGAAGATGTGGTCAGTGAGAAAGTTCTGGACAGCTTTAACTCAGAGTTAGGTCATAAAGACTGGCACATCTCTCACCGATCTGCTCAATCCATTATCTTTGAAAGAATTGAAAGACTGTAGCAAAAACTGCAACCCAAAATGACATGACTGTAGACAGAACATCATTTATGTACTCCACAAATCTATACGGAAAAGTACCTAATTTCCAATTTTCCACAAATCATGTGGAGGATCCATCAAACATGAGAAAAATGGCGCTCTGATCATTAGACATCAAAACTGAGCTTTTTTGCCTACATGCAAAACACAGTATGTTTATTCAGGTTTATTGAAGCAAGGATGCATCTATTGGACCTGTTTCAGAGAAACACACATATACATCAGACCAGTCCAGTCATTTTCTAGATTTCAATCGAATAGAGAATCTGTGGCGACACTGCAGAATTGCCCTTCACACATATGCTGCCCATCAGGTCTAGGTGAGTGTCAGCCATTTTTATAAAAAGATACGTGGACAAAACATTTAGTCTTCTAGATGTGCAAATTCAGCAGCAACATGGACCCAAAAAATGGTTTTACAAATGACTGACCTAGGGAGGCCAAGTACCCATATGAGTAACACTTGTCAGAGATTCGCTTGGTAAGAATCTGAAAAATCATATGTAATTTTCATTACAGTTAACAAATATGACTTTGAATTAGTCAATCATATAAAATCCCCAAAATATAAATTAAAGTTCATGTTTATAATGTGACAAAATAAGATGTATGGACACATTTTGCAAGGTACTTTGTATTATGTTTGTGAAATATTCAAATATACAAATAAAGATTGCACAAGTTACTACTAAACACTATCATTCACAGGTGTCAAACTCCAGTCCTGGAAGGTCGTTGCCCTGCAACTTTTAGATGTGCCTTTTGCTGCGCCACACCTGAACAGAACAGAACTGAACCTCCAAAGCCTTGCTTTCATTAGCAAGGCTTTGGAGAACTGATCTACACAAGGAGGAGGTAATTAAGCCATTTCATTCCAGCGTTTTGTCCCGGTGGCACATCGAAAAACTGCAGGACAGCACCCCTGGAGGACTGGAGTTTGACACCCCTGCTATAGTTCTTGAATATTTATTTTCCAGCTTTATGACTCAAATCGACCAAAGTTAGTAACATAAGGGAAACTGGTCTGATCAGTTGAAATGAAACTAAAAGAAAAATCCAGAGAAACATCCACTTCAGGATAGTAACTGGTATTCTTAGTCAACAACACCAGTCCCTGTTGAGGTTTTATCCTGCTTATGTAAGATATAAATAAGAGCTCACTTGTGATTGGCTTGTCGATGGCTGATCCTGGGTCTGCGGTGAATTGCTCCGAGTCACAGTCAGGTGTAAATCTCCCCCAGGGAGACTAATCGTATGAGTTTTCCTCTTTAACACCCTTTCCTGGTCTGTACAATAAAAAACAATGTAAATACCGTATGTTTTAAATCTGCATGCATGCCCTTATTTAAGACAAATATCGGTGCATACCTTGTTGTTCCTTGAAGCAGACTTTATAGATCTTGTCTTCCACCTTTTCAATCCCACCACAGTCGCCTCCCCCCGAGAGTCTTCTTTTCTGAAAGTGTCTACTGACCTTGTCCTTCTCTCTGTCTGTTAAATATCTGGCCTCAAAATACAGTGGATAAGGATATTCAGCCATTTTTGACTTCTAAACTAAGAGAGAACTTTCTGTTCTTGTCCCTATTCTGAGGAAATAGCGTTCGCTGAAGAATTAAGTTTCACTTTCTCTTATCTTTCACCTCCCCTTCACGCTTTTGACACACCTAGACACAGTCCGGGAATTGGGAAACTTGGTATTTCCTGGTGTCACTGTTGAACACCAGCAAAGTAAATAAAAGACAGTGAAACCCACTGATCATGGCTTCATGATAATATTTATTAATGTACAAACACAGCATCTAACATTTCTTGCGGTCATGACATAACTTGTGCAATTTTGTAGTGACCCTACATTCACTGTGTAGAAGAAACATATTCACACACAAGTAATACTCAAACTGCGTCACACATACCAGATAGGTAAGCATAATGAAACTTTTTACAGTTTTATTGTTTCCTGACATGTGTGAACTGGTTCGGCCTCTAATTTTAAGAGTCAAAGGAGTTAAAAGAAAATCAATCATCATAGGACCTTCAGAAATTCTGATTCTTTTTTTTTCTCTTAGAAAGTCTGCTGCAGCCAGGATTCCTGGAGGAGAGCAAACTACAAATGAGAAGTTTGCAGCACCCAGGCGTTCCGAAGATGTTACATTTTCAAACACGCTGGAAGCATTGCACATGTAAACAACCCTGTTGTCCTCTGATTTAACATTACAGGAACAGACAGTAGGCAAAACGCAGTTATCATTTGTAATGAAGTTTCAAAATATTAAAAAAATAAATATCTCCTTTAAACCATCTCCTCTCACATAATTACCAACGTGAAAACAAATCACAGCCTGCTAATCAATAGGACACCAGCTGATTCAGCTGCTGATTCAGCTGAATTGTTCTGGTTTTGCGGCTTGTACACTACCTCATATGTCTAGACAACAGTGCTAACTCTTCACTGTCTCTGAAAAAGATCCCTGTGGCGTCCCGGCTGTAATTCTCCTCAATGCTATCTTTTAACAGAAAGCCATAATGTTGCAAGGTAGACTGAATTCCTTCCTCACATCGTTATATATTTGCAAATTTTTCTTCCACACCAGGGTGCTAACTGATTACCTCTGGTCCAGAATCTTTTCTTCAGGTATTTGTATTTCTTCAGACAAGGCCCTTAATTTCAATTAAAAATGCTGCTGCAGGTCTCAAGAGAATGAGTCTCTAGTCTGGGCGATGCCTTCAGTCCTGCGGCGAACGACTTTAAATCTTCAGGTGTCAGACTGTGAACTATGTCTCTGAGGCGTTAATGAACAGAAACATTGTTTTCACAAAATATTAGGGTCAAAACAACAGAAACTGCAAAGGTATGAATTGGTACATGAACATCAAGGGTTTTTTTTTTTTAAACATGTGCTTAACAAAAGGTGATGAGGTAGTCTGGGTACGCTTGGTTATCATGGAACACCACAAACATGCTGGGGTTGTCGATATTATTCACCAAGCTGTCGTAGCGGTCATGGGGTTGCTGGATGTCGCGAGGTGGAGGCATCCTCATGTCGCTGCGGCCCAGAGTGAAAAAGCCTGTCAGGACTCGGGCCACGAACATGGTTTGAGTACCGTCTGCTGCGGGACTGGAATAGTCCACTGAGTAACTGGCATTTACAGCAAAGTAGGTTCCTTGACCAAAGGCAGTAGCTGTGAAAGACAAAATGACATAATTACCTTTCATGGTCCAGGAAAGTGCCCAGGTACGTTATTACAGGTTCTTTACGCATCCTAAATCTCCACAAACAATTCATCTGCAGAAGAACTAGTTAGTAGACACATTACCATTTTTCCCAGAAAAGCTCCTGTTGAACCCTTTGGTTTTGATGGAGTTGAGGTTTTCCTGGCTTGTCCCATGGTACAGAAGTCTTTCAACTGCTCCACCTTCATTTTTGTTCTTTTCAGAGATGTGTTTCTTCTGCATTTCATACGTGCGTCGCAGGTGAACGTTCTGCAAGCGTTCAATCTGACAGGAAGGAAAAAGAGATCATGGATCAATAAAACTGATTTTTTTATATGATTCGTTCAAAAATCATTGCTTAGGTTTGATTACATACTGTTTATTACACAGCATGTAACAACTCATAACAATCACAATGTGATGTTATGAGTGGATAAAATGAGCACACCTTTGTCTACGAGTTAATGATGGGGTACACATTTACTACGAGTTAATGATGGGGTACACATTTACTGAGACAAAAACAAGAAGCTAACTAAAACAAAGAGCTCTCCTACCTTCACAATGGTTTTGTTATGGGCAGTTTTGCTGAATGCCTGCTGGACGGTTCGATACTCTGCAGATGAAGGACCCAGCAGCACTTCTTCCAAATATTCAGCATTAGACATTTTGTCCCAGTACAGCGGAAATATAAAGTCTAGCAAAGTGTCACAGTTGACATTAGAAGATGTTAGAAACACACAAAGATATTCTGGAAACTTCGTAAATGCACTTGTTAGATTATAACAAGTAACCTGTTTGGTGAAATGAATAAACATTTGGCACTTCACATCTGTGATTCAGGTACCACAAAATGATTTTAATGCTTCCTTTTATTTTATTTTTTTATCATAGCAAAGCCAATAAAACGTTTTAAACAATGCATCTTTCTGAGATATCTTCCTTTTCAAAAGCAATACTTATAACTGCACAACTCCAGTGATGAGATTAAATATTTTCAACTTTTAGTTGAAATTAAAACTAGTATAGGTTGACAATGAGGGTTGCATTCAACTTTCTGCACGTTGTGTCAAAATATCAACAATGAAAAACAGTCTATGAGCACGTTAATTTCTAAAAAAAAAGTTGTGTGTATATGTGTTTTAAAACTTTATCAGGTTATTCGTTCATGTATTTGACAAACCAACCATGTTTAACACACTTAATGTTTGAGCTTCTTACATGAAGTCAGAGTTGGTTAATAAATTACTTCCTTGCGAAACGCGTCATCACTTACTAGCAATAATAAACTTCTCATCTGTGACTTTATAGAAATGCCACAGAATAAAAGATCATATCTGTAGATCTCCAGCCCAGTTAACCATCTTTCAGAATGCATTTTCATTGTAAGCGTATGTTTTTTTTTATTTTTTATTTGTCTGTTTCTAAGAACATACATCAACACGACAGCCACCTAGAGAGTGATCTAAAAGGCAGAACAAGCCTGTAGATAACATGAGGAGCCATAAACATTAGGGCTCACTCTTAAGTTGGTAACTGCAGATTGTTTGCTTAAGATTAGTTCTTTTTTGTTTTTTTGTCCGTACTTACCTGCCATGGAGTTGCCAGACAAAAGATGAGGCCAGGGCTCAATAAAATTAAATGCTGATTGGACTGCACCACTAGTTCCTGCTGGTGAAGGGGGGATGTGTTTTCTTTGTTTAGATTAACTTTTGTATCTAAGTGAATATTTGTATATATATGTTTGACATCTGTATTCTGTTTAGTTACCCCTATTGTGTTTTAACTGGTCTGATCAGCCAGTTGGTCATTTCTTTGTTAGGTTAGTTATGTTTGCTTGTGCAGCCAGTTTGTTTGCATTTTTGAGGCTCTGATATTTTTTTCTCATATAGAATATTTTGGGTTAAAACAAAAGAAAACCCTATTTTTCTAATATTTCCTGTGACGACTCCTGTGTTCAATTCGGTCCATCACACAGAATGTTTATATTGTTCTAAACCAGGTGGCATGTTGGTGAACATATAGTGGTATATATGGCATGACGTAAGCTGAAGCTCAACCAACATGTTTTTTTTAGCAATCCCAAAATGATTCATGGCAGTCTGACTTTGTCTTTGAGGTAGCAGTCAGTCTGCAAGGTAAAAGGCAAATGATAGGCAAATATTGCTCTCTTTGCCTCTTTCAAAGTTTGGAAATTAAATCTGAAACCATCATGAAACCAACACTCAAATAAAACCATTTGTTCCCCTTACCTGCCAAATTCTCAAGTCGTTTCAACTTGGCTGTTTGTCTGGTTAAATCTCTTCGGGCCTCCATCTTCTTTAGATTCACACTCCAGGTAACCCTGTGTACATCCACTATGCCTTTTGTGGTGTTACGCTTTTCCAGATTGTAATTGGCTGTTTTTGGGAGCCTCTCCCAGATACCGTCTTGTCCCAGAATACACCAAACTACGCGAGGGTACAGACTTTCCTCCTCTTTGGCTCTCAGTTCCTTCCTAAGAGGAATGAGTGTTTGGAGCATTTGATCCACCTGGTTGACACCAGCTTTCAACCCGCTCACCGTCAAGCCACCCTGGCTGAAGGGGTCCTCCTGTACATACAGGCCCTGAGTCTCAACTAGGTTCATCAACTTCCTTATGTCTTCCTCTGTAAGGTCTGCCAGATCCTGATTAGTGAAGGTTTTTGTGACGCTGTGGTCTTGGTATAGATTCTTAACCATTTTTAGGGCTTCTTCAACATTTTCTCTTTGAAGGCCCACAAACAGGAAAGTGGACTGCTGACTGGTGGCTGTCGTATGACGGAGAATTGAGGTTGAAAGAATAAATTGTCTTGGTGTTGATACTGCAAATTATTTCAAAGAAAAATGTTTAGACAGTCAGATGTAGCTAGAAGAAAACTCATGGTACTCCTGTTCATTATTGCTTACCTTGACGTTCCTGGATCAGAACTTTACAGGAGCTCTCAACCATTTCTTTGCTCATTTTACCTTCTGCCTGGAAGTAACGTACAGCTCCCGGACCATCTAAAACCAACTTTTGGAATGCCAGACTTGCTAATCCGGACCTAAGAGCCTTATGGGCCTCCTGCACATGGCAACGGGGGCCAGAGATATCTACGGTGGGTTTGGGAAGAAGGGACTGTTTCAAAGTAACTTGTGTTTGCTTAAAGCTAATCAGTTCTAGGATTTTGCCAAAGCAGTCAACCATTTCAGGATGTTGCAGGGGCAGAACTTCTTTTGTAAAAACCTGATTCAACAGGTAATCCTGAAGAACATCTCTGAGATTCTTCACATAGTCAGTGTAGCCCACCAGGCGCACTTTGGCCACTGTGGTTGCACCTTGCCCAGGGATGAAGCTGAAGTCCACCCTGAGCTCATCACGGTTTAGGTCCGTCTT